ACCTGCCAGCCCCTCCTTCCCCTTGGTGCTGGATCCTCTAGGATTTGGGCCACAAAGTAGAGCTGCACAAGGGCACAGAAAAGGATTTACCAGAGGAAATAGGGAGCTCCTATTTCCCCTCCCTCAGCTGTTGGCAGAGACCAGTGTGCCGCCTCTTTGGCTGGGTACCGTGCTCCCTGCGTGCAGTCCCCCGCAGGCCAGGCACAGCGACCTGACCTCAGAGCTTCCCGCTGGAGCGAGGCCGGATCGCCGGGCTGGCGACAGGAAACGGATGTGTTGTATGGGACACCAGGAACCCAGCTGCAGGCTGCTTGTAAAACACCCCCTGGCTGGTTTCTTGGGCCTCCTCGTTGCCTGCCCAGGCACCACGATGAAGGCTGGCAGAGGCTTTTCATTCAACTTCCGTTTGTCCAGAAACCAACCCCACCACCTTCTGGCAGCAAACCCGCCAGGCTGGCAAACGCTTTTGGCCCAGCATGGGCTGGCGAGCCGAGCGCTTACGGCTGGTGAGACATCCAGCACGGTATCCTTGGGGGGGGGCCTCCAGAAAGCTCCAGCCTTGCTGATTTTGCAGCATCCGTTCGTTCCTTCCTGCCCTCCTTCACTCCGCTGCTTTTCTGGGGCTGGCTGTGTCCTGTCCCCAAATCGCAGTAACCTGATGGAGAGCTGATGCCTGGACAGAAGTGGTTTATTCTTAGTTTCTTCTCCCTGCTAGTCCTTTATGGGGATGAGTTTTATGCCAGAGGAATAGGGCCATTGGATGAAATCTTTGTTTTCCAACAGTGCTGTTTCCTGGGTGTTTCCTTACCGCAGCGTGTCCCAGTGCGATCCCATGTCCTCACAGCACTTCTCACTCGCGCCCCCATTAGCCGTGTTAGGGAGACTTGGAATTTGGTGATGGTGCAAACCATTTGGCTGCTGTGCATGGCAGGAGATATTTTTAGCTATTAGTCATCTGAGCTGTCTGTGTGTGCCCAGGTGCAGCTTTAGGTTTACTGAATTGCTGTGCATTATTTGACTTTCTTTACATGAGGTTCAGCTGCTCGGTTTATGACTATGGGAGTAAAACTCCATCTCAGATGTCTCGGGTACAGTAAAGCAGTGAATCCAGGTAGACCTGGCCAGGCCTTTGCAGTGGGAAGAGATTACTGCAGGAAACAGTATGTGTGCAGCAAAGAAGTTTTTTTTTTTTTTTGTAATGTTCCTAAACAAAGACTGACCTTTCCTCCAGCCATTTGACACTGGGCATCTCCCCAAAGCCATACTTTGCTGGGAGAAGTTTGTTTTACAGCCATCAAACTTGAGCCCAGGGTCGATAGAATAAAACAGGGGTCAGAGCCCTTGGGACATGCTTAACTGGAGACATGTGCCCTGGGACTAGCCAAGGAGCAGGCAGGAGGTTGATCCAGGTCTGAATTTTCTCTGTTTGCAGCTGGAGGGTGATGCGAGGTGGCTGCGTTTGGCTGCACAGTGCAGGGTGCTTGTCTGGTGCGTCCGTCGTGCCTTGAGGTGGGGGGGGGGGGCGGTTCAGATCCAGTCAGTGCGGCTGTTTGAAGCCTGCCTGAGAAAGCAGCAAGAGCAGGGAAAATGTCAAGTGCCTGAGGCAGGAGATGCTGTTACACAGGAGAGTGCATGAAGGGGCAGCGGGCCCTAGATTTTGCAGTCTGGGCTGAAAGTGATGGCCAGAATGAATGGAGGAGGTTCAAGCTGTCTCTCCCCAGCTAGAAATCCAGCACTGCTGCGGTTTTTCTAAGGGCTCAGAGTGAGGAGGCTTAATACTGGCTTGCTGCGTGGTTGTAGGGATCAGAAGTGTTGTGGCAAAAAACTGCAGGCGGTTTCTAGCAGAAATGCTGGGCAGCAAGGTGGTGCATCATGCAGAGCATCACGGTGCTACAGCCGGCGCAGGCATGAACAGGCAGCACGTCCTGTGTGATACCGCAGAGCGAGGTGTTACCAGGGGTCTGAGCCACTGCAGGGGCAGAGGGGGTTGCTGTTTGATGCCTGGAGTTGTCTGCTAATGCACTGGAAAGTGTCTGGTGTCATTTGGAGTTGTTTATGCTCTCTGTGGGTATCCTCACTTTGAGTGAGGATGGACGGTACTTCATTGACGAGGATGGATGCTGCTTCATAGGCTGTGTTGCCTCAGAGGACTCACAGAGGAGAGATTAGAGCAGGTCCTGGAGGTCCGTGGCCTGAGCTGCTCCTCCGAGACAAGCCTGGCGTTGGCCACTTCATCAGCAAATGTGCTAATCTCCTGGCCATGGGACTGTCCTGCGGGGACAAAAAGGGACAGAGACCCCCTTTTGCTGTCAGGCTGCAGGGCCTGATCCTGCATCCCTATGCAACCCTCCGTGTGAGCGGCTGGGGGTTCCTCTGTGGTGCAGGGACTCAGGCTGACCTTGCTGAAGGGCTGGTTCGCAACCCGGTGCAGGCAGGGGGTGGGGTCCAGGGTGAGTGGGAGGCAGGCTGAGCCGTCTGACTGTCCTTGCACGCACCCAGGAGACATGCTGCGCTTACGCACGGTGCTGGAGGCCATCCAGAAGAACATCCACTCCTCCTCCTTGATCTTCAAGCTGGCCCAGGATGCTTTCAAGATCGCTACGCCGGCTGATAGCAACTCGGACACGACACTGCTCAACGTGGCGCTGGAGCTGGGGCTCCAGGTATGGGAATGCGCTGGGGATGCTTGCGGCCCTTCTGCCCCCTCACTGTGGGAATGGCCCTGGGGGGAGCTCTCCCACCAAGCAGGCAGTCCCCCAGGTCACATAGGACTTGCATGGAAGGAGTAAATTCACTGCTGTATGGCCTTGAGTAGGGCAGCTCAGCCCCAGGGGGTCCTTGTGCCTGCTGTGGTTTGCGTGGAGGTGAGGCAGTGCCCGAGAGCCGGGGGGGGGAGCCACAAGCCAGCAGGGCTGTGGGGATCTTTGCGAGAGCACCGTGGTCCCAGGTGACCTTAGGTGATCTGATGAGGTGGCCGGTCACCCTGGGTTTGCTTTGCAGGTGATGCGCATGACTTTGTCCACCCTCAACTGGCGGCGGCGGGAGATGGTGAGGTGGCTGGTGACGTGTGCGACAGAAGTGGGTGAGTACCTTGCCACCTCACTCTGCTGGGGGGAGCTGGCCCGCACACGGTGGGAGCAAGGTGGGCATCCCAGGGGCTGTTTATAGCCTTGGGCAAGGGAGTCGGATCTCCTGGGTCTCCCCTTTCTTTCTTCTTGGGCAACTCAGTGCACCCCCAGAGTATCGGCTGGCAGGACTGGGGCCATAGTGAAGGCTGGAACTGGGACTGGGACGGGTCCCCCCAAGCTGGGCCAGGAGGGGGGTGTTTGCTGTACCTCGTGACATGGGAGTGCAAGGTGGCATCCCTGTGTGCCTGTCCCTGTTGTAGCAAAGGCCATGGCTGCAGCACTGCTGTGGGCTCTCTTCCTTGGCTGTGAGTCCAGGGTGGCTCTGGATGTCCAGAGATGCAAGAGGAGCCCCACGATCCAAGCCGGGCTCTGGGACTCTGCTGTGACCCCTCTACCTCTTACAGGAGTGAGGGCCCTGGTGAGCATCCTGCAGAGCTGGTACTCGCTGTTCACCCCCACGGAAGCCACCAGCATCGTGGCCGCCACGGTGATGTCGCACAACACCATCCTGCGCCTGAGCCTGGACTACCCACAGCGGGAGGAGCTGGCCAGCTGCGCCCGCACCTTGGCGCTGCAGTGTGCCATGAAGGACCCCCAGAACTGCGCCCTGTCTGCCCTGACGCTCTGCGAGAAGGACCACATCGCCTTCGAGACCGCATACCAGATCGTCATCGATGCTGCCTCCACTGGCATGACCTACACCCAGCTCTTCACCATTGCCCGCTACATGGAGCACCGGGGCTATCCTCTGCGGGCATTCAAACTGGCCTCGCTGGCCATGACTCATCTCAACCTGGCCTACAACCAGGACACGCACCCCGCCATCAACGACGTGCTCTGGGCTTGCGCCTTGAGCCACTCCCTGGGCAAAAATGAGCTGGCGGCCATCATCCCACTGGTGGTGAAGAGCGTGCACTGCGCCACAGTGCTCTCGGACATCCTTCGCCGCTGCACCATGACGGCCCCAGGCCTGGCCGGCATCCCTGGCCGCAGGAACTCGGGGAAGCTGATGTCGACTGACAAAGCGCCCCTGCGGCAGCTGCTGGACGCAACAATAAGCGCCTACATCAATACCACGCACTCCCGGCTCACCCATATCAGCCCACGGCACTATGGGGAGTTCATCGAGTTCCTCAGCAAGGCCAGAGAGACCTTCCTCCTGGCACAGGACGGGCACATACAGTTCGCCCAGTTCATTGACAATCTCAAACAAATCTACAAAGGCAAGAAAAAACTGATGCTGCTGGTGCGGGAACGGTTTGGTTGAGCCCTGGCTGCTGCCAATGTCACTGGCAGGGTCTGGCCGCGGCACGGGGACATGGGAAAGAAGAAACGAAAGCGGAGAACACCTTCCCCTGATCGGCAGAGGCTGCTCTGTTCTGTTCTTCTGTTTCTTTTTTATTTTATTTTTTTTCTTTCTTGGATTTAACCATTTCACACGCTGAGAGGATCCAGAGATTCTTTGGGCACAAACCAAAAGGCAACCACGGGAAAGGATGGTTTGCTCAGCCCCTGCCCTCCCTTGCCAATACCAAAAGCTAACCTGGAAATCTAATACCTCTTTCTTGAAGGAAGCGGTCGCTGAAGGGATCCGAAGGTTGCAAAGTGCAAAAATCTTTAAAATTACGTGGGGGAAAAAAAAGGAAAGAAAGAGCGAGCAAAGAAACCCGCAACACTAGAACCTCATGCGTCACCAAAAGCGATGGCTTTGCAGAGTGCTTCTCCCGCCCGCCCGAGACATGCAAACTCCTCTATTTGTGAAGATACTTCAATAAATACAAGTTAAAGTAACTGTTCTCAGGGATTGCTTACTAAAAGTAACACAAAAAAACCCCACTAACCTGCCCTCACAGGCAACACCACCCTTCCCTTCACAGCCCTACCTATACTCCACACCTACTG